GGACATCTTACTGAAAGCCTGTATTTTTTTTTAAACATCTAACAGTTCTGCTTACTGTCAACTGTACTCCATCCCAAATTGACTAAAACACTTGCAAAAAATTCCTACTTTAAAAACCTTTAAGATATTATTCCGTTAGACAAACCATTTAATTAATCAACATATCTGACCTTTTGGACAAATCAAAGAACTCCAATTTGGCAGTAATATTTGTTATGATGATTAATTAAATGGTATGCCTAAGGAAATAAATACAGGAAACCCTTTTTATAGTAATTCTTCAAAGTTTTCAACCATTTTATCATCAAACTGGGAGGTAATACAGCAGATAGTAATCAGAATGGCTTAGAATCCTTTGATGAAAAAAAATAATGCTGGCAAAGTTAAAAAGTTCATTCTGTTTAATACAGACTATGGGTGAATGTATAAAGCAAAGCTCAAGAGTGTATTGTAATGCCTCTCACATTCTTAATTCCATTTGTATGAGACGTGGAATATTAATGGTACTGTAAGTACTTCAAAGCTTAGATGGCAAACAACCTTGGCATTCTGTCTCCCCTCAAACTTCAGATCTTTTGATACCTGCCTTTACAATTCGTTTTGGTCGCTCCTCCTGGTGAACTGCTCCCCAGGACTCCTTCATTTGCTGGGTGTTTACAAGGCTCATTGAATAGCTTGCAGCAGAAGACTGTTCTTTCTGCTCATGCTGAAGAATTTTAGTTGAAAAATCTTCAATTGCTATTGATATACAGTGATCCATAGAAGAAGACAGGTTTTTAAATGCATTTCTCCAGCCAAAATCCAAGAAAATAGGCTGAAATATACATTTATATAACATCAATCCAAATGCAACAATGAGTGTTACTATTGTTATGGTCCTAAATTTATAATACCAATACACAAGATGTCTAGAGAAATTTTGTCACATGTAGCAAGAGTATTCACATAACTTAGAAACTATAACTCCTTAATTTTATTTATTTTTTATATATATGTATTATATAAATATAATATATATTCAGAGATACATAGATATACTTAACACATGTTTATAAGCATAGTGATGTTCCATTTGAGTTGTCACTGGATTTAATAAAAGTCTTCTAAGTTTATTTATAAAATATATATTTCAACTCTTAAAACATCTTTCTATAAGCAGGAGACTGCATGTAAAAGAAATCTTTCAAATTAATATAGTTAAGAAAGTAAATTATATTTTATAGCCACTTTATAGTTTAAGAAGTGTTTTTAACATAAAACATCATATACTATTCTCTCTTACTTTGAATACATAAAATCCTAAACCAGCAACAAATAACCTAAGGGGTAAACTGTTAAAAGAAACTGTTCTAACACGTCTAAACTACATTTAATTTCTTTAGCACTGGATTTTACAAAGGTTTCAACTGATCCATGTTGAATGAGCTCTCAAACTTCACAAAAGAATGAGAGACCTCTAAGGTGGATCTGACTCCTGCCAACTGTACATGCAAGTACAACATGGACCATATCCTGATTTTCATTCAATTTTACTTTGTACTGTCCAGTTAGCATAAAGCAGACAAAGCCAAAAACAGCTAACTGAGAATTCCTTTACCGTAAAAGGGATGTTTCAGGAGCAAAGGACTTAATCTAAGCTGTTATATAGGGAGTGACAGGAGAAGAGAAAAAAGGGGACTATTTAGGGCTATTTGAATCATAAAATTGGCTTATTAAATGTCACTGCTGGAGAATAACAGACCTGGCATATATTTAGATCACATCAGGTTTCAGAAGCTCAAATATGACTGTGGCAGCACACCTTTGGCTGCCTGCCACTTTAACAGTGGAAAACAGGCACCAGCCAGGTGCCTGATTAGGGCAGCCATTTTGAGCACTAAGCATATAAACACTGCCTGGCTGAGCTGCATAGGACATCTAGCAGGTAGGAGCAGGAGGCTTTTGGTCCTGGGCACGACCTAAAACTGCACCCTGCCAGGGAAGGGTGGCCTGGTAGGACTCCTAGTGGCATGGGAGCCCCCAAGAAATGCCAGGCCAGTTACCTCCCCAGTGAAAGGTGAGGAGGGGCGCCTTAACCCCAGCCCCCATCTTCGGGTAGGCTTTGGGAAGCAGTAGTGGGGCCAGGCTCAGCTGTGGCCACCTGAGCCTGTGAGGCAGGTGCAAGAGCCCAGAGAGTGAGTGTGGTGGGCCAGCTACAGCAACTGGAGTGCCAGCTGAGCCTACAAGGGTGGCTGACCCTGAGACCCGGCAGTATAGTGAGGCCCTAGGGAAGAGGGCAGAGTTGTGGCCTCACACAGAGTACAGCTGAAGGGGAGTAGACCTGAAGGACTGTGCGTGGGGGGTGGGGCTGAGTAGGGCTGAATTGGGAGTAGGCCTGAAGGGCAGCGCAAGGGCCAGTCCTGTTAGTAGCTAAATGTAAGGATGTAGTTGAGTGCAAGGAGGATGAGAAGCCCCCATGGTGGGGTGTGGTATGGTATAGAGGTCCTAGAGCAGGTGCACTAGGAACCCCAGGAATGGGGAGTAGGCCAAGGTATGTCTTGAGACACCTGAGGCCATATTTGGGCCAAAAGCCAAGTAGGGGGCTCAGCCAGAGAGTTAGGGGCAAGTCCTGACCCTGGTAAGTCCTCCACTGCAAGGAGGATGAGGGTGGGTCAAAAGAAAGACCTAAAGGTTAAGCACAATGACCTGCTACTCCAGGGAGGGAGTGAGAGTCCCTATGAGATGCTGGAGTACCAGTCATTGTGTAGGTTATGATTACATCATGTGGATGCCACCTGCAAGGCATGGGCTGCAGTGTAGGGAAGGTTTGGAGCTGCAGATAGCACCCCCTGGTATCGCGGCAGGAAATGGGCAGTCTCCCGCATTATACCACCAGTTTATGGAAACAGCAAAGTTGTGGCAGGAAAGACTGGGTGGACTGCCCCATAGAGACAGGTAGGCAGACCAGCATGAGACCCAACCCTGAGCGTGCCCCCTGTCACAATAACATTTTAAATTGGTAAATAGAGGACAAAATCCTTCAATAAGGTTTAGTTGCTCATTAATATCAAAGAAACTATTCTTAATTTTAAGAACAAACCCCAGTAGTAACCAACAGTATGATCACATGCTCTGATTTCTGTATATTTTGTAAAATTATGCTGCATTGGAAAACATATAAAATATTGAAAAGGGACTTGCAAGTTTTTGCCTTCCTCTCTATAACTGAGGTATCTTTTACTTCTGATTTTGGCTTTGTTATACTTTAATGTTTTGGACATACAGCCACGTTCTCCACTTCACATGCATAGGATTTTATTCTACCTGAAAGGAGATTTTTTTTCCTAAAATTAATTGTAATAACCAAATTATTAAACTCTGAAGATAGGTGGTTATAATGAACATGCTGACTGACTTTATACTGATGACACAGACCTAAAAAAACCAAACCCCTACAAGTACAAGATTCTTTTCATACTCACCTCTTTCACCTGAAGTAACTGTTCAGGAAGCACACTAGTTTCATTTGCTCTAGCTTCCCCTATTAAAAGCTCCCCACTAGCTTTCTTCAGAACTCCTGCACAGTATGATAAAGGGGATCAAAGTTAAGATTAATTCTGTAGAAAAGTCTGCAGCCTACAACACCTTCTGATATATCGAAATGCATTATAAAAAAGAAATCAACAAGATGTAGTGGAATACTAATGTTATGCAAAAGTCAAATTCAGGTTATACATAGTCCTTTTTATATAATAAGATGAAATTCACATCCCATTGTATTCATATTTTATACATGTGTGTATATAATGTGTAAATTATAGCTCTTTTTGTTATTAATTCATTTTTATATTGATTGTGTAGTCACTTGTTTCTACAGAGAATAGATAACTTCAGAGCAGCTGTGTAAAAATTAATTTCTGTTCTTTGCCCAATAAATTAAATAAATTGTAAGGCACTATATATTTTAAACTTTTTGGTTATTTTAAATGCTGACACTATAAGACTAAAATGACATCTAATTAGTTCAATTATTACATACAACATAATGACCCAAACCAGTGAAACAGGCAGACTTCTCTGGCATTAATAACTCATTAGTAAAGTGCAACATATGGTTCAATCATGCTTTATTGAAGTCTATGGGAATATCATCATTGATTTCATCAGGAACAAACACATAATTAAAATAGAGGTCATATATTTAGGGCCCAAATCCTCAAACACTCACATGAACTGTATCATGAAGTTATTCACGTGTATAAATATTCAAGGTGTTAGGCTCTTAGATAAGAATATTTCATTTCAGGACAGGGGGCATTTTTCCTCCATAATCTAATACTAAATGCACAATCAATGTTCAACAAATAAAAGAAAGTAAAAGCAAACCAGCTGATCTTTTAAATACCCTTTCATCCCCATAATGCATAACTACTTCAGTATTGAATGGAAGCTATATTTAATTTATTATTTGAAACGTGCAAAAACAGAAAAATACTAGATGATAAGCTATTTTCAGCATAGCTGAAGAGTATCATTAGAAGCATAAACTCAAAGATCTGCTGCTGCTTGAAGGCATTAGTAGGTTGTAGGGTTAAAGCTTGGGAAAATCTTTCCTGTTTGACAAGGCATTCAATTTTCTTGAATATCCATAGGAACTAATTTGTCTAAAGTAGATTTTACCATATGAAAGTTTCATATTCTAAGTTGTCCTTTCAAAACTAGTTGCAAGAAAAAAGCATAATACAAAAAAATAAAAAATGGCAGAATATAAAGATGGACAAGACTAATTAGATCATCTCGTTCTTTTCATTGCCAGGGCAAGATTGTTCTCTACTGTACATTTACTAATGTTTCACTGGAGTATAGTTTTAAAGGCACTAGGAGATGGAGTTTCTAGTACATCTCTTGGGAAATTATTCCAGGCAGATAGTGAATACTATCTGGGCATTTTCTGATATCTGCTCTACATTTTCTCTCCATTGAATCTCATTATTTCTAGTTATTTGCCTTCTTTTTATGTTAGGAAATCATCAGGCCCTAAGTGTTTACATACTTTAAATATCTGTACACTAACATCTTCATACTGTCACAGCTCAGGTATGCTCTCTATAATTCACTCTTGATCTCTTCTCAAAAAGTCAAATCATCTGGCTTGCTAAGTCATTTATATTGTCATCTCAGAATTCTCTTCAGTTTGTTAATATTTGCAATGAACAAACCACAAGTGAATGCAGTATTTTAGAGAAGATCCTCAGCTGATGCAAACTGTTGCCTCCACAGCTGAATACAACTTTGGGAATTTATACTAATTAAAGATCTTAAGTTTAGTCATGTCAGTGCTGTACAGAAAGGACCACTAGCCTATAATTTAAGGTCTTGGCGTATAAAATAAAAAATTGTTGCTGAAAAAAAAATCTCATGTGTAAGCTATGTGCAGCTATCAGCCTTAAGTTTGTTTTGGGTTTCCTCATCCAACACTAGATTTAACTGTGGGGTCAGCATCCTCTTTAGAGGCAGCAGGCCCAGATTGGTCTCCTCTTCCTAGCACCAGCCAATTTCTTTGTCCTCCCTTTTCTAATTATTACAGAAGACTAGACCTAATATAGACTATTTAGTGCAATATGCCAGTAGAGACTCTCCCCAAGCCTGATATTTATCAATTTATTGTAATGATTTGTCTACCGTCTCTTGGCAAAGTAACAGAAAAAAAATCCAATTTGAATTATTGTTGAAAGCAAGGATTCAAGAAAATGGTATTACATATTTTAATTAAGTCCAGAGTTTTTCTGCGAGTCCACTGTAATTCTGTTATAAAGCCATGAAAGTTATCAGACATATTTTCTTCCCTTTGTTTAGTACTATTTTTCTCTCTGTATTTGTCCCATTGTTTTCCCAAAGATAATGCTTGGGCTTACTGGACTGTCATTTTTTCTTTCTTTTTTCCTTTTAAAGTTTTTTAGTGTATTACCTACATTTTTATCCAATTTCCGTCATCTCATTTGTTTTTTTCTTAGTTTTAGTGGCATAAGGACCATTATGATCACCTTGATGGACAACTGTGTAACACAGGTCAGAATTGTACCTTCAAAAATTGTTCATAAGTTAAAATCTAATACCACCCAAGCTACTGGCCAGTTGGACTGTACATCTGTTTTCAAAATACCTTTGTTGTGAGCATACTAGAGACAACAGATCTTGAAGAAAACAAGGAATGTCAGCAGACAGTCATTAAGAAGCAGAAGAGTCTGAAATATTTGACTAGCAATAGATTGAAGTCCTCATAGATTTTGTCATCTACAACAGAATCTTTAATTTTTGTACCATACTGAGACAGTTCTTGCAACACGCACATGGTAAATGTGAATGTGAAGTTCAAAATCTTTCTTCTGAGAGTAAATCCTATTTTTAAATTCCACAAAATAAAATTTTCTAAGGAAGCTACTGCTGCATCTACCTGTGGGAACCAAAGCAAAAAATCTAACTTGTTTTGCTGGTATGTGTATAACTTCAAAGGCTGTCTATCAAGGCTATGCACCTTGTAAATTTGATCCCATTCTCCCTTTCATTATGCTTTCTAGAAATGGATGTAAAGTAAAAGAACTCTTCTTCTTAAGCTGTGAAGGAAAGACCTTTGCAAATCCTTCTGGTCCCCTGAGGCAATGCTTGTAAACCTAAGGGCTTGACAACTTTGCCCAGGGTGGTTTCAAAGAGCTTCACTGGAAAAAGCTTTTCTTGGCACTCATTATCTGATCTGTCCAAAGTTCACCTTTCTCACTGGAATGGAAAAAAGGTGAGAGAAAGATGAAAGTGTGTTAGATGTTTTTGATTTTTAAAAGTCTCAACAAGAGGCTTCTGAAAAGCCAGGGGAAAGAGAGAAAGCACATCTTAAAGATGGAAAGAGAATGCAATTTGGCAGTCTATTCTTCATTCTAAATAAGGGTTTCCTGCTTAACCCTTGACTACTGCTGAATGTTCCAGGTTTCTTCAAATAGAACATTACTCCTGTGATGTTGAATGTACTAGGTATGTCTGAAAAATTCCAGGGAATTCAAGTGAATGTAAATAGATGAGAGGAGCACAGCAGGTATAGTGAAAGAGCAGCAAATAAAGGGTTAATTATACCTATACCCTCACTCCCCCACTGGACAGACATGATGGCCACGCCTTTCTTCCCCTTTCCAAAACCATATTGATACTGTTTCAGGAAGAATGTCTGGGAAACTGGGAATATATGTGCCAGCTTTGTTAGGAGAAATCTTGCTTCTTCTCTTGATAGGAAAAGAGTTGTCATCTTGCTTTGGTGACATGCTAAGGTTTGAAGGACAAAGCACGTTTACATTTAATTTTCAGGGACTCATAAGTTTCCTCAAATATATTTTTGGGAGGAAATTTCTCAGATCTATTTCTTCTTTCAGAAATGAATTATTTCAGGTCTAAAATAAGATAATATTGCATTGTCAGTTTTTTAAAAAGTTGTTATACTAAGTTTTCTGTTAACTTTTATTTTTGTTTGGGTAATCCAGGTATAGTTTGAATTTAAGTGTATAACTTGACATGTACAGAACCCTCAGTGAGGAACACATGCTTAGCTAAGTTTGAAAATGAAATGGTAAAAAAAGCAAGTTACTGAGAATTGACAGAATATGAAAATAAGCTGTAATAGAGAATGCAATGCATAAATCATTTTTGTTCACCTACATTAGGGGTATAAAAGATATGGCCCATGGGGCTCCTGGAGGGGCCAGGAATTTGGTGGCAGGGCCCCACCACTACATTCCAGCATATGGAGTCCAGTGGGGGATGTGCGTCAGTGGCAGAGGGCAAATTACAGGCATGTTAGTCCATATGGCTCAGGAACCCACAGTGGTTAGGGCAGCTGACAATCAACTCACCACCACAGGTGGGTTCTGGATCTGGCCCACAAGGAGCCCCAGGGTCTGGATCCAGCCCCAGGAGCCAAGGGATTCTGACACCCCTGATCTACATGAAACAATCTGGGGGCTGAATCCAGAGGATTCCAGATGCAGAACTCTCAAAATCAATTCACAGAACTGTCCAGATCACCTCAGAGCAACTGATACATCCACCTCCCTAGAGTGTTACTTTGGTTCAGTGTGTCCTCTGGTGCTATTACCTGCCGTGGGAGTTACTCAGAAAGCAGTGGTAGGCAGTACTTCCCTGTAACATCTATTTTCAACTGCCTAAATTGGTCTTCACAGGATTCCATTGTGCATGCTGCAAAGAAACTGTCTTGTTGGCAGCTAGAAGTGTGAACTGCATGTCTTTCTTTTCTTCACTGTTCTTTTTTTGGTTCACAAGCAACCTCCTACCAAAAGCAGAATCTGCAGAAGAGACTACATCCAAGCAATAATGCTATGAAAAAGTATGAAGAGAAGCCCAGGTGGCCACCTTGCAAATTTCCAATGTGGAAGCCTTCGACCTCTCCGCCCAAGAAGCAGCTATAGTCCTAGTGTAATGAGCTTTACAAACCCTGGGAGCCTCTTTACCCTTAACTACATACGCCTCCCTAATACAATCCCTTAACCATCTAGCTAAGGAACTCTTAGAAGCTATTTGACCCCTCTTAAGACCCCCTAAGAGTACAAACAATCTGTCAGAAGATATGAAATCTTTGATTCTTCTGTGATAAACCCTAAGTGTTCCTCTTACATCCAATTTATGCAGCCATTGCTCTTTGTCATCGCTGGGTCTAGGGAAAAAATGAGGGCCAAGAATCCTCCCAGTTTAGACACAATTCAAATATCAGCTTTGGCAAAAAAAAATGAAGAACTGTCCAAAGAAGTACTTTATTTCTGATGGAACTTTACAAATGTTCTCTATATCAAGCCTCAAGTCTCCGCATGTTAACGCTGAGCAAAGAACAGCTAAACTTGTCATTGTAAACAGCCACATTTTCTGTCATTTTTTGGCAGGACTTAAACAGAAGTCTAATAAAGACCTCTAATAAATACTCAAAATAGCCAAGAAGAAAATGAAACAAGGGCAGGACCTTATTCTATTTGATGTCTGGGAAAACATCATGTCATTGGGAAACAAAGCTTATTTATTATGTATTGATAGTTCCTCTTAACTTATTCACAGTACTAGGGTAAACTGAGTTAACCCTTAGGGTATGCCTACCAGTAATGCAACTGTGGGGGGAGCAATTGGGGCAGGAGCCCCAGGGCTACCTTTGTGAGGGGATGCAAAGGCAGCTGCTAATGCAATGACAGCTGACCCATGTGTCATGGCTGCCCCAGGCGCAGAGCTCTGCCTTGCTATGCTTCTGATGCCTACACTGCCTTCACAGTGGTAGTCTAACCCCAGCACTGCAGAACTCAAGGTGAGCTACCTTACCCTGTTTCTCAGCAAGCTTTTTCAGCACCTGCTGAGTTCTGTGCTGCTAGATTACTACCAATACCTGAGCTAGCTCAGTATGTCAACACTATACCATAATAATTTCTGTATTGCACTATAAGTCCTCTAATAAGCCAACACTTCTAAATAAATATATAAGAAGGCTCTTATTTTTGTTACCACCTACACCACAATCAGGTACACCACATCTGCCAGTACAATCAAAGACACTAGTTAAATGTGACTAATCAATTTATTCTGATCCAGAAACAGGCTTTATCAATGAGCAAATAATCATGTTTATCAGGAAAATATAGGATGCTAACAAAAAAAAGAATTATCTTCTGGTTCTTTACAGAAAAGCTGAAACAACTGGGAATATACTTCTCATTCCCCCCTATCAAAACACCTTTTATTTTGCTATTGTTGGTATTTCTAATAAATACCACCGGTAAATAATTTTATCAAGCATTGTTTTCTTATTTCTCTAACTATGCCTGCAGTCCATAATTCCACATAAAAAAATGGATGTATTCCAGCAAGGTTTTCTGAATAAATTGAGATCTCCTCCCCAAGAATAGTAAGTCTGAAAATGAAGAAGGGTTTGCAAGTCATAATACCCTAAACTGTAATAGATTTATCATCCTACTTGTTAAGGGGTATAATTCTGTACTCCCTTTGGAACTTCCTGTCAAACCTCCCACAACCCAGAAGACTGCCTTAGCAGCTGATTTAATTATACTCTTCAGATCAGATCTGGAAAGTATAGCCCCAACTTAGGACACAGTCTGACACTGCATGTAGAGTAGAATGAATGCAAAACAGCAGTATAATTCAAACAAAGAAAGCTCAAAACAATCTTACATACTTATGCATTAAATTAATCTTATGCCTAATTGTTCACAAGATCATGTGCTTCATGGAAAGCAGCATTTCTTTCTTAATATTCCCTCTATCAAGGTATATATTACTCTAAATAGCTACACATTTCTGTGCAAATTACATTGCACATGGTGTTTACTATTTTTGGAGTGTTTTCATTTAATTACACATCTATTGAAGAAAACAGCAATAAAAACAGCACCTGTGATTAATTCAGTTAACGAGGCTCCTAACAAATATGGTCTGACAAACCTTTATCTTCCATACAAAATTTCATTAACAACTCTGAAGGGTCATAAGGGTCTACCATGATATCTCTCTATTGGGTGTGTTCAGACCAGTCTCAGATTTATTTAATTTTATTTTAACAAAAATAACTTTTATTTCTTTATTTGAATGACATGACATCCACAAATTTCAGAGAAGAAATGCACAATCCACACTCCATTAACAAAACATGTGCCTCTGAACTCTTTCAACTTCACCTATCTCTTCATCTTTGTATTCTTAGATCAAACTCCCAGAACAGCTTTCTTTTGAGCCTGCAGCTGGGCTAGAGAGATAGCAGTACTTGACTCCGCCAGTCCTCTCCCCCTATGCAGTCTGGCCTCATTTCTAATGAAATATTTTCCTGCAATATAATCAAAGCTCTTGAGACTACCTGTTCTCTGGTGTCTTCATTTAATTGCACTGGGTAAAAAAGCTGGGTAAAATATATGCACACCATTTTTTAGCTGTCAGGTTATCATCCTTCCAGTACTCAGCTTTCATGGTTGCGTGTTTTCTTCATTTGAAATAATGACATAATCCATAAAATAAATAAACATTTATTTCTGAAAGTGTACATTACAGTGAGTAGGCTCACTGAAGTCAATGAAACAACTCATACTAGTAAGCATTGTGCACAACTGCATTTGCACAATCAGGTTTAGTTAAAACAAGGCACATTTCCCTGAAAATATTTTAAACTGCTATTAAATTTACCTAAAATTGATGTTCAAAGTTCAATGCTTTTCCCATTTAATACAAGAATTGCAGCCTTCACAGAGCATGCTCAGAAATATTAACATTACAAAAGTTTCACGTTCATTTATTTTGTTACATATAATATGTGGATAAATTTCTGATTGGAAAAAAACATGTTTTCCTATTAAGATAAATAATTTCTATACATTAAATCTTAAGTGGAGCATAGTTGCAAACCACAGTTAAGGCATTTCATATACGACTCAATGGGTGCATCTACATGTATCCTTTACTGCAGTTGAACTAATTAGCTCCACAGTAACGCATCACCATCTACACGTGTGTAGGTATTAGGGTGCAGTAAATTAATTAAGTCTCCCATAAGATAGTACTATCAGAGTACTGTACTATCAGAGACAGTACTATGTTATGGCAGAGTACATACCTACACTAAACTGCATGTGTAGATGGTGACAGGGACTGGCTGGGGCATGACGGTGCTAAAGTGTGGGGCTGCCTGTTGCCTAGCTCTGCACTTTAGCATCCTCGTGTCCCAGCCAGCCCTCTGATGTCTGATGTCACCACCTGGAGCCTGTGGCTGACACCCTGGGCCAGGCTGCTCCACCCCAGCTCAAAGTGCTGCAGTCCTGGGTGTATGTGTAGATGCGGAGTCTGTAAGAAATTAGCTCCACTGTGAACTGCACCGGAGTTTATTTTGTTGCATTAATTGCATATGTAGATGCACCCAATATGTATGAATTTGTAACCATCCCAACTTCTGCTTGAGGTCACCTCCAGTTGACCTAGCTGCAAATGGGTACCTAGCCATTTGATGTGCCTAAATCATGATAGCTCTTTGGGCTACCAGGCTTAGGAGGACATCCGTCTTTAAAAAAAAAAAAAAAAAAAAATCTTTTAGATACAAGTACAACTGAATTATTTTAGAAAAATATTTAATCAAAAGTCATAAGAAATTTGTTTATATTGTGGAAGACGATATCATTCAGAGTCCTGATAACCTACATCTTTTAGGAGGAAATATAACATGATCTTTTATCCCAACTGGAAAGAAAACTGTACATGATAAAATTTATATATTACCTTGAATTTTTTTATTCTTCTCGGTGAAACAAGGTAACAACAGAATTTCTTCAAAGAGCTCTTCAATCTTCTCTTCCAGCAGCAAAAAGAGTTTTGTAAGTTGAGAAAGACATCTGAGTTGATATAATGTTAAACAAAAGTTCTTTCCTTTTGGGGGATTTTCCTGGCTGCCTGTCCAAACAAAAAAGTCATAAAATGTCTTTTACTTTTCAGTAAGAAAATGCTTACAATAAAAGGAATTATAGAAAACTAGAGTATATCAAACCAGTCTCATTCTTGTTATAATACAAAATACCATGTTAGGAGCTGAAACAACCCAGGGATAAATCTAAATGCTGTTTTAAATTACAATATCTAAAGAGCATCCCCTTACACAATAACTCCCAGACATGAATCATTAGTCCACATTGCATTTTCATCACGTAATACTCCTTTTCCAAAATTCACACTGGAGAAAATAGGGAGAAAAAAAAAGACAAGGAGGTGATAGCATAATTGAAATCCCTGGCTAACATTTTTGAGCCATTTTCTCCATTAACAAGTGCCAGAGACTTGATTCCTCCACCAGAAAATGCTTTACTGTATCCCACCCCCTGGTCTTGATTTTTGTCCTTTCACATCACTGCAAGATAAGTGCTAGTCTTAAATATCATTTAGTATTGGTCAGCCATAGTCTAGATCTCAACTAGAGAACCATCAAGATTTAGGCCACATACAGACATTCAGTTTCTCTGGAGCAGCAACTCTCCCAGGAGAAACCAGGAGTGTACAGATGTTCAGGATTTTTCTCCCAAAGCAAAAATTGCCACCCCAAGAGAAAAATAACCTGCAAACTACCAGTTACATAACTCCTGGGAAAGTTTCTCTCAGGAGAGTAAATTTATGTGCAACTTCCCTTCTGAGAGAAGCCAAAGAAGAAGTGCTCCAGCATCCCAGGGTATTTTGCTCCCCTCCCCCTAACCCCTTGCACCACAGAAAAAGTGTGTTACTCAGGCTGGACTCTACTTCTCCAGTCCAGTAGGGAGTAGAATATGCCCCCTTCACAATCCCACACTGCCAATCAGAGCTACCAGGCAGACTAAGGAAGCCTGCAGAGCATGCTGAGATGTATGCACAGGGGCCCCCTGGCTGTATAGTATTAACACTACAAGCTCTCTGCTCTGCAAGGGCTCAGCATTTGAGTGTCTGTTCAGGTGTCTCTAGGCAAGTTTTTTCTACCACGAGAACAAATCCACGAGATTTCTCCCAAGTCATATTGATTTGTGTATGCAACCTTAGTTCTAGGATGTGTAAACCCTTTCAAATAATCTCAGAGAATTCTCCCAGGTTAGTTCTCCCTGTAGAAAAACCTACCCAGAGCCATGTATACAGACATTTGATTGCTAAGGCCCTGAAGGGAGGAGAGCTTGCAGTACTAACACTATATAGCTGAGGGGAGCCCTGTGCAGTCATCTCAGAATGCTCAGCAGAGTACTCCCTTAGGCTGCCTGGTGACATTTGACAGCAGTGCATTGGACAACGTTAACTTGATGACCCAGATTGCCCATAGTTAGTCTATGTTTCTCTGAAGCACAACATGAGGATTCTGAAGAAGGCATGTCTGGTCTCTGCTGGAGCAGCAGAATCCATTAAGTGACACACATGCTCCCTTGGGGGCAAGAGGGAGAAGGACTGCACAAAAGAACTATACTCTCTTTTAAGAGAAGCCATGGCATGTATAGACATTTGCTCTCCCTGGAGTGGGCATTTTTATTCTGGGAGAAAAAGCCTGAACATTGACTGTCCCATGAAAAACTGAATGTCTATATGAGGCCCTAACTCATGACAAGATTGTAACTCAGTAGACGTCTAGCACATTGTTCATAGCTGATTTTTAATTCTTTTCTGGTTTGATTCCATGTCAAAATAAATTTAATTAAGAAGTGCATATGCATTAAACAATTTAATAAATAAGACTATAAATGAAGCGTGCAATTCAGTTGTTCTCTAGGAAGATGAATATTTATTTTTATATTTATTAATCTTTTATAGCCTAATGTATTTTAAATTGTTCATATTATCTCCACTGTAAACAATGCCTGTTACTGGTAGTGTTGGAGTGATGTTTTAGCTGTGATGGTCCAAGAAAAATGCAAGAGGCAAGGGTTTTATAGGTTATTTCTTTGTTGGAGCAACAGCATAGTTTGTTTAAATCTCTACCAACTATGCAGTTGATCCAGTAAAAGATAATGCCCACAAAAATCCTTGCCTCTGTTACTGGTACCATTATGGACCTTACCTATGGTAAAATAAGAAGCTTTATGCTTCTTGTACACAAACCTTATAGTGTTAATTTTGCATCATATCTTCAAGATGATACCTTTCTTAGCATTCAAAGAGTTTTCAAAATTAAATATCAGGAAGTCCAAACCTAATATTAGAATGCCAATATTAAAATCAGCTTTTATTATTGAACTGTGCTCATACTTTTTCTTTGGAATTTCTTGCTTGCCTACCTGCAAAATTACAACTGAATTCCAGATTGCACTATTCGTTAACAAATATGGATGGGGGCTTTTAACCAAAAACTGCTCTTCAGAAAACATTCTGAGAGGTATTTTACAGATGAAAATATTGTGTTAAAAAATTTAATTGACTAAATGAAGAAACACCTCTTTACTATGTATTAAAAGTTTGGGATGTATCACATCAATACAATGTCACTCTGCAAGCCACCTTGTCTAATACTCTGCCTGCACAATGCAGCTAAAGAAAGTGACATCTGAGCAAAAAAAGACATCAGTCTAGCCCTCCACAAATTTGGATATCTTAGGTTTGAAAAAAAGTGAGGCTGTCAGTGGAAAAATATCACGAAATGGTTTTTTTTAAAGAAATTTAACATTTCATTTTCACTGTGTGAAAACATAATATTACATAATACATCTAGGGAATCCTGCCTGAGCATGTAGCTACATTGTCTAATACTGTTCTCATTTAGTTCTATTAAACTGTACAGTTTAAAAGATGTAACAAATATATTTATTTTATAACTTGTTGAATATAACATTTTAAAAAAGATATAATTTTGCAATGTTGAGCAAACAAATAGTGCTTTCACTATCTAGGACAGAGAAGGCCAACCTGTGGCATGGGTGCCATAAGTGGCATAGGCAGCCTCCATGTGTAGAATGTGGCAGAGTGAGAAAGGAACACAGTGGCAGATAAAACAGGGGACGGAAAGTTGAGAAGCAGCTTGGCAGGAAAGCAGAATGTTGAGCAGTAGGTTGGATAAGGGAAATGGATCGGAGTGGCACTGAGGGAGGATACCAGGTTCATTGGTGGCATACCTGCCAAAAAGTTTGGCCCCCAGGGTACTCTAGTAGTTACCTCCATGTTTCAGAAGGGTTCTGTAGCCAAAGAAATGTCAACAAAGTGGTATGTGTTGAAATTTAGGGTACACAGACTTCCACAAAGCCCAGAACATGTATTCTGGTGTTCCTCACTCTGTTCTTTTCAGAGATGGGTAAAAGGAAATTTCATATCTATATTACTATTACCATTGTTGTTTTTTCCCCCTCTGAACAACAAATACGTAATGGTAGTTGTGTCATTGTAGTTCTATTCTTGGGTCTTATACTTTCACTTCCAGCAAACGATATACTACTAATCTAAGTTTTCTGTACCATTGCTGGAAAGTTTGAAAACATAAGCTTAATGTATCTGAAATAATGGATGTTTGCTTGGGTCTACAAACAGCAAAACATAGTGGCTCTGAGAAGTGAGAAATGAACAATCCATTTCAACAGCTTGTTAACTCTAAGCCACACTGTTCTTGGCAACCTTGTAGTACTGCCCCTTTATCTTAAGCAAGATCACTGCAAATGGAGGCTAGATTCGTAGATTAGGGGCAGGTATAGAGGATTCCATATTGTAGCATGCCATCTTACTTTAATATGGCTTTATTAATACCTTAAATATCCCCAGTGAGAACCATTTCATAATTTCACTGAGCAGAAAGACAGAAATTCCTTGAACCCAATAAGAAAACATACAAATCAACTAAAAACACCCCATACAATCATACTAATTTGAAGGTTTTTTCAAATTCTGAGAAAAGACCCATAACCATTTTTTTAAATGTCAATGAGCTTTTAAAATATACATGAACTGTAATTTGAAGACACCAAGTTCAAAATTCCCTATTCTTACCAGCCATTAAGAAGGTGGAAGAATACTTTAAAAATAAACTACACTTTGCACAGAATATGCAAAGGAATATACTATGTGCTACATTATGCAATGCTATGCATTCACATAGTGTGTGTGTGTGTATATATATGGACATATGTATATATATAGATATGTGCGCACACACACACACACACACACACACACACACACACACACTTTCTCATATATCACATGCTCCCAAAAAGACACGCACCTTGTTTTTGGAAGGCAGAATGTAGAAAAAAAGAATTTTTCATAGTCATCGCTACTTTGTATGACAGTTTTCCTGGAAACCCAGAGTATCCAGGAAGCGTGGCATCCCTGGAGACTGTCTGGGTAAGACAGCAGGAATGTCCTGGTGTGGCAGTACAGCAATAAGTTTAGGCCACAGACCCTTGTAAGGGCAATAGGAAGACTTTTACTTCTTTACTGAAAATAGTTCTTTGTAAAAAGTTCTTGTAAATAATTAAGTTTTGTTTCTATACCACAAGCCTCATCAAGATATAACTGACTGAATGCAGCAGCACATTTAACACCTGAGCCAGCTCAACTGCTACTTCAGCCACAAGTTACAGTGCTCAGCCAAGAGTTACTGCAAATTCCATAGTAGCTGTGAGAGGGTTAGCACTAGACTCTGCCCCTTCTACTTCCTAGGCCAGACAGAAACATAGCCATCTTGGCAGCCATTAGAGCAGTGTCTCTGTTTCTACTCTATTCTTCTATTCCAGTGAGGAAAAATCTACCTCCCCACTTATGCCATGCACCCCAATTTTAGAGGGCTGATTTTTGGAGAAAAGGGTGTGCATGGTATGTGAGCAGATATGGTAATCATTTCCACTCAAACCATTCTACTCCATGAAATCAGATTTCTTTGAAAGTAGATATTAAATGTACTCTATAGTATTTAACTGAACAGTAACTATAGATGTAAGATACTTGTAAGTAATTTAATCATTAATATA